TTAAAGAGTACCTCCTTACTTTACAATTTTCCTTGTATCATTTAAACAGGGTTGAGGTGATTCCTTGAGAAGTGTCTGTAAGGAAGAGTAGTTTTATCGCGGTCAATGCCAGAATAAGTGACGGTTGGTAGTTCAGACCTGTGGATGGAATGATCGATGTGTATCAGGGAAGGCGGGTAAGGAAGCGAGTAAATATATTTGATTTTGAATAAGACGGCAACTAATGTACATGAGGTCAAAAAATTGTCAAAATTAGGGGCTGTCTGCGAATCTCTTCCTGACTGTTGCAAATAGATATGTGGAAGAATAGCTGGATGCTTTCATATTAACGAAACCGAATCAGCTTTGACCTGAGCAGACTTATAGACTACTCACAAGTCCGTCAGTACAGATTCTTTTCTTTACTGAATGATACAAATCAGCGCAGTCATGTTGGGTTGTGAATTTTAACGTGCTGGGGAGTTGGAGGTATCGACAATTGATGATGTGGTATCAACAGAGCATTTGAAATTTTAGACAACAAGCGCATCCGATTGTGTAAGAAAACGCCTACTGAGCACCATTTAGTACCGTCAATATTCTGTCATGAAGTCGCAATAACTACTGAGCTTGCTCTACTCTTGTATTAGTTTTCTCAAGACAACGCACTAAGTTAGAGGTTGAGCCTAAATCAAAATGTGAATCACACTGCCAGCCAGTGCAATTCACAGCCAAATGGATCCGCGTCGGTAGTGCGTACCACAGCATATTGCTAAGCAGATCTGCATTATATAGAGGCACCGAAATAGCACATCGACCAATGCAGTAGTAGTGAAGTAAGTCTCCAAACATAAGGGTGTCGCCAACGCTGTCTGTTAATTCAAATGGGATATAGATTAGTCGATTTATCTTGTGGCAACCACACCTCAAGAATGCATTGTATTGCGTAGTAATTTTGGGAGGGAATTTGTCATTAGGGTGTCAGGATGTGCAACTCATCCCATGCGGCGCTTTGTGACCTCTGATAATTTAAAATCAACTAAAATAAA